CCTCGCTTCCGCATTCGCTAAGAGTAAACTCATCTCTAAGATCCCGCCCCTTTAGAGCTATGCGTTCGCGTTGGTGTGGTCGTGTTCGCAAAGCGCAGCCTCCCCCACTACGCTGCATTCATGTCCAAAACCTTGTGTTCACACTGAGTAAAACCACCCCTGTCCCAACTAGCCTCCACGTTCGTGGGACTTTCTTCGCAATCGCGAAGAAGAAAATACAAGAAACCAGCAAAAGCTAAAAACCAAAATTTTCCTTAGTTCAAAAACATATGTAGCCTATATGGAACTCACCGGAGCCCTCGAGGCTTCAAACCAAACATGCACCTAAGTCCAAAAATATTATACGAACTCGCTCGCACGATAAAAATACCAAAATAACACCTAGAACGATGAATCAGACACCTAAACGAATGAAATTTTCAATAAAACTTAGGAACTTTTGTTTTAACAATCAGACGTCCGAATCACGTCAAATCAACTCCGTTTCGCACAAAATTTTGCAAAATAGTCATAAATACAGTATTGGACCTATACCAAGTTCTGGAACCAAAATACGGATCCGGTAGTAATAAAGTCAAACATCGGTCAAATTTATAAATTCTTTAAGCTTTTAAACTTTAAACTTTCAACAAATTGCGATAACTCGAGCTAGGGACCTCCAAATTCGATTCCGGGCGTAATCCCAAGTCCCAAATCACGATACCAACCCACTAGGACCGTCAAAATACGGATCTAAGTTCGTTTGCTTAAAACATTGACCGAAGTCTACTCAAATGAATATTTAAGGTACGAATTCACATTTTAATCGATTTTCACATAAAAGCCTTCCGAAAAAAGATACGGACTGTGTACGTAAATCGAGGAGGCTAAAAGGAGCTATTTGAGGTTTTAAAACACATAATTATGGGATAAAACTTTAGATGATCTATCGGGTCATCACATTCTCCACATCTAAAACAAACATTCGTCCTCAAACGGACATAGAAAATTACCTAGACTGGTGAAAAGATGTGGATATCTACTCCGCATGTCCGACTCGAACTCCCAAGTGGATACCTCGATCGGCTAACCTCTCCACTGCACTCGAACTGAAGGATAACTCTTTGACCTCAACCGTCGGACCTGCCGGGCTAGAATAGCCACTGGCTCCTCCTCATAAGTCAAATCCTTGTCCAACTGGACTGAGCTGAAATCCAACACATGGGACGGATCACCGTGATACTTCCGGAGCATAGACACATAGAACACTAGATGGACTGTTGATAAACTAGGTGGGAATGCGAGCCTGTAGGCCACCTCATCCACTCTCTCAAGAATCTCAAAAGGCTCGATGTACCTAGGGCTCAACTTGCCCTTCTTTCCAAACCTCATCACACCCTTCATAATAATTCTCGGAGCAACACCCTCTCTCCGACCATGAATGCAACATCACGAACTCTACGGTCGGTATAACTCTTCTTCCTAGACTGAGCTGTGCGAAGTCGATCTTGAATAATCTTGACCTTATCTAAGAAATCCTGTACCAAATATGTACCCAATAACCGAGCCTCCCCTGGCTCGAACCATCCAATTGGCGAACGACATCGCCTTCCATATAACGCCTCATAGGGAGCTATATGAATGCTCGACTGGTAGCTGTTGTTGTAGGCGAACTCCGCAAGTGGCAAGAACTGGTCCCAAGAACCCCCGAAATCCATGACACAAGCACGAAATATGTCCTCCAATATCTGAACAGTGCGCTTGGACTTTCCGTCTGTCTAGGGATGAAATATTGTGCTCAATTCAACCTGTGTGCCCAACTCACATTGTACTGCCCTCCTGAAGTGTGAGGTAAACTATGTACCTCGATAAAAAATTATAGACATGGGCACACCATGGAGACGGATGATCTCGCGGATGTAGATATCAGCCAACCGCTCTGAAGAATAGGTAAGTGTCACATGAATGAAATGTGCTGACTTGGTCAGCCTGTCCATAATGAACCATACCGCATTGAACTTCCTTTGAGTCTGTGAGAGTCCAACAACAAAATCCATAGTGATACGCTCCCACTTCCAGTCAGGAATCTCTAACTTCTGAAGCAAACCACCAGGTCTCTCATGTTCGTACTTTACTTGCTGACAATTTAGACACCAATAATGTTGCCACAAGTCCTGATATATCTTGGCGGCACCCGGATGAATAGAATACCGGGAACTCTGAGCCTCCTCAAGAATCAACTCACGAAGCCTATCCACATTGGGCACACAAATACAACTCTGCAGCCTCAAAACCCTATTATCTCCAATAGTGACCTGCTTGGCACCACTGTGTCGCACCGTGTCCCTAAGGACAAAAAAATGAGGGTCATCATACTGCCGCTCTTTGATACGCTCATACAAGGAAGTCCGAGCGACTGTACAAGCTAGAACACGACTGGGATCTGAAACATCTAATCTCATGAACTGATTGGTCAAAGCCTGAACACCTGATGTAAACGGTCTCTCACTAATTGGGATGTACGCAAGGCTGCCCATACTCACTGCCTTTCTACTCAAGGCATCGGCCACCTCATTGGCCTTCCCGAGGTAATATAAAATAGTGATATCATAGTCTTTCAACATCTCCAACCACCTCCTCTGCCTCAAGTTGAGATCCTTTTGCTTGAACAAATACTGTAGACTCCGATGATCCGTGAATACCTCACATGACACGCCGTAAAGATAATGCCTCCAAATCTTCAGCGCATGAACAATGGCTGCCAACTCTAAGTCATGAATATGATAATTCTTCTCATGAACCTTCAGCTACCTCGACGCATATGCGATCATCATGTCATCCTGCATCAATACTGCATCGATCCCTACACGAGATACATCACAATACACCATGTAAGATTCTGAACCTGTGGGAAACACCAACACCGGCGCTGTAGTCAAAGCAGTCTTGAGCTTCTGAAAGTTTAACTCACACTCGTCTGACCATCTGAATGGGGCACCCTTGTGGGTCAATCTGGTCAATGAGGCTATTATAGATAACAAACCCTCCACGAACCGGCGGTAGTAACCCGTCAAACCCAGGAAATTTCGAATCTCTATAGATGAAGTGGGTCTAGGCCAGTTCTGAACTACCTCAACCTTCTTAGGATCCACATTTACGCCTTCTGCCGATAAGACGTGCCCCCAGAAGACGATTGAGTCTAACCAAAACTCGCACTTTGAAAACTTAGCATATAGTTGGCTATCTCTCAAAGTCTGAAGTACAATTGAAGATGCTGCTTGTGTTCCTCTTGACTGTAGGAGTATATCAAGATAACATCAATAAATACAATCACGAAGGAATCCAAGTAGGTCTTGAACACCTAGTACATCAAATCCATAAATGTTATTTGGGCATTTGTCAACCCAAATGACATCAATAGAAACTTATAATGCCCATGCCGAGTACAAAAAACTATCTTAGGGACATCAGATGCCCTAATTTTCAACTGATGGTATCCAGAACTCAAATCATTCTTCTAAAACACCTTGGCACCCCGAAGCTGATCAAATAAGTCATCAATCCTCATCAATGGATACCTGTTCTTAATGGTGACTTTGTTCAACTGCCGATAATCTATACACATCCTCATCGATCCATCTTTCTTCTTCACAAACAACACGGGCACACCCCAGGGCGAGACACTAGGTCTAATGAAGCCTTATCAAGCAAATCTTGCAACTGCTCCTTTAATTCTTTCAACTTTGGCGGGGCCATACGGTATGGCGAAATAGAAATTGGCTGAGCGCCCGGAGCCAAATCAATACAGAAGTCAATATTTCTATCGGGTGGCATCCCTGACAGATCTGTAGGAAGTACTTCTAGAAACTCATGGACAACTAATAATGAATCCATGGAAGGAACATCCACTAGAATCACGGATATAAGCCAAATAAGCTAGACACCCCTTCTCGACCATACGTCGAGCCTTCACATAGGAGATAACCCTGCTGGTAGATTGTTCAGGAGTCCTCCTCCACTTTAAGCGAGGCAACCCCAGCAAGGCCAAGGTCACCGTCTTGGCGTGACAATCTAATATAGCATGATAAGGTGACAACCAATCCATACCCAAGATGACATTAACATCTACCTTATCAAGAAGTAAGAGATCTACGCTAGTCTCAAGACTCCCAATAGTAACCACACACGAGCGATAGACACGATATACTATAATAGAATCTCCTACGGGTGTGGACACACACACAGGAGCATTCAAAGAATCATGAGGCACAACTAGATATGAGGCAAAATAGGATGACACGTAGGAACAAGTAGAGCCCGAATCAAATAGAACTGAAGCATCTCTATGGCAAACTGGAAAAATACATGTGATAACAATGTCAGATGACTCAGCTCAGGTCTAGGTGGGAAAGCATAATATCGGGGATGGGCCCCACCACTCTGAAGCACATCTCTAGGATGACCTCTAGCTGGATGGCCTCTATCTCTAACGTCCTAACCCCCACCTCTAGTGGCCTGACCTCCACCTCTGGCTTCCTGACCCCTGCCTCTAGCTGGCTGAGCGAGCAATGAAGCAACCGGTGCCAGAACCGTGGCACGAGAACCCTGCTATTGTGTGTTGCCCAGTGCCCGTAGGCAAAATCTAGCAATGTGCCTCGGATCACCAAAAGCATAACAAGCCCTCAGCTGCTGTGACTGCTGACCCTGAAACTGACCCATTCAACTTGGGTAACCACCCTGAACACTCTTGAGCGGAGGTGCACTAATAGGAGTTGGTGGTGCACTATTGGCTAGCTGGTCGGGATGAGACACATAAGGGCCAGGACTACCTTACGCACTATGAGATGCTTGGAGCGCTGACTGAAATGGCTTGGGAGGATGGCCTCTACCAAAAGTACCCCTGCCTCCAAACGAAGCACCACTGAACCCACCAAAATGATGAGGCCTCTAATCAGACCCCTTCCCCATCTCCTAAGCAAGAACAATCTCGATCCACTTAGCAATATTTGCAGTCGTCTGACATGAAATATCAGTCCCGGTCTTCTTGGCCATTTGTCGCCTGATAGTGTAAGTGAGTCCATCAATAAATCTTCTCAGCCTCTCCCTCTCAGTAGGAAGCAAGATAAGGGCATGACGAGCTAGATCCACAAAATGGGTCTCGTACTGAGTAACAGTCATATTGTCCTAGTTGAGACGCTCAAACTGCCTACGATAATCCTCTCTCAGTGTGATAGGGATGAACTTCTCTAGAAATAGCTGTGATAACTAATCCTAAGTAAGTGCAGGCAAACCAGCTGGTATGGTCAACATATAATCTCTCCACGACCTCTTGGTGGAACCCGCCATCTGAAACACAGCAAAATCGACCTCATTAGTCTCAACTATACCTATGTTCCGCAACACCTCATGGCAGCGATCAAGATAATCCTGTGGGTCCTCAGAAGGGGCACCACTGAAGTGAATTGGAAAGGGCTTAGTAAACTTGTCCAATCTCAATAAAGCCTCAAAAGATAAGGCAACCAGCCTGTGCTGCAACAACCTGCTGAACTACCCCAACTGGCGGGGCTGGTGGAGTCTGATACTAGGGATCTATCTACTCCGTGGTGTGAATAGCGGGAGACTGTGCTCCTCCCCCAGCCTGAGAGATGAGTGGTGCCACTAGAAATGTACCGGCCTAGGCTACACTCTCCATAAGGCCCACCAAATGGACTAGAGCGTCCTGAAGTACTAGAGTGACGATGAACCCCTTTGGGGCCTAAGCTGGTCTAACGGGTACGGTCTGAGCTGGAACCTCCTCATCAAAATCTACCCAAGGCTCCACTGCTGGTGTTGCTGCTCGAGCTCTAGGCTGAGCTCTGCCTCTGTTTCGGCCTCTAGAACGACCTCGACCTCGACCTTTGTCCCTAGTAGGAGCTGCAACTAGGGGTTCCAACTATTGTCTAGATGTCGATGTAGTATGTGTTCTCGGCATCTATGACAAAACAAGAATAGAAGAGTTCAATCACTAATGATAGAATAAAGTTGTACGACAGAGAAGAATAGAAGTAAAATTATTCCAAAACTCCATAGCCTATGGACAAATAAGTACAGACGTCTCCGTACTGATCCTCCACACTCTACTAAGCCTGCTCGTGACTCGTGAGACCTAGGTAACCTAGTTCTCTAATACCAAATTATTACGGGCCGGAATTCCCACCTTTGGGACCGTGATGGCGCCTAATATTTTACTCCGTAGGCAAGCCAACTTTAGTGTAAATCATTTGCCATTTTAAACATTTTATGTAATTAAACCCATTTGAACTGAAATATAGCTGAAATGATGTGTGATAAGGTAAAACAACCAGAAATGTCTAAGTACAATCCCGAATTTGGGGTCACAAGTGCACGAGCTACTAGAAGTTCTACAAATAGAGTCTAAAATAAATACAACTGTTTCATTTACTCCCATGTCCCAAATCACGATACCGACCCACCAGGACCGTCAAAACACGGATACGGGTCTGTTTGCTCAAAATATTGACAGAAGTCAACTCAAATGAATGTTTAAGGCACAAATTCACATTTTAATCGATTTTTCACATAATAGCCTTCCACAAAAAGACACGAACTGTGCATGCAAATCGAAGAGGGATAAAAGTATCTATTTGAGGTTTTGAAACACAGAATGATTGGATAAAACTCTATATGACCTATCGGGTGTAGCAACCCGACTTGTCATTTTGAACATCTACGCTCCTTTAGATAATTTGAAGTCTTGTGCAGCTTCGTAATATGTATTATGACTTGTGTGAATTATCGTCTTTAGTTTTCGGATGATTCGGGATTTAATTGAAAGAACAATCCTTGTTTAGAAGCTTAAATGAAAAAGAGTTGACTGAAGTTTGACTTTTGTGCAAACAACTCCGGAATGGAGTTTTGATAGTTTCAATAGCTTCGTGTGGTAATTTTGGACTTAGGAGTGTGTCCGGATATTTATTTTGAAGACCGTAGTTAAATTTGACTTGAAATGGCAAAAATAGAAAATTAAAAGATTGGAAGTTTGATCGGGAGTTGACTTTTTGATATCGAGGTTGAAATCTGATTCTGGAAATTTAAATAGGTCTTTAATGTGATTTATGACTTGTGTGCAAAATTTGAATTGGGGGATGATTCGAGGTTTTAGCGTTGTTTGATGTGATTTTAGGCCTCAGCTAGGTTCGTATGATATTTTAGGACTTGTTGGTATATTTGGTTGAGGTCCTGAGGGCCTCGGGTGGATTTCGGATGGTTAACGGAATTTAATTTGGATATTTCTATAATGTTTTGACGTTATTTCTTCAAGAATAAATGGTATCACATTAAGAAAATGAGCTCCAAATTCAATTTTGATTGAAGCATTATATTTTTACTGAAATTACGGAGCCATAGCAAAAAGAATCGCCGAATTCGGACATCGTATGAGAGAGTTATGCCCATTTTCGGACGAAATAGAAAATATTTCCCATCGCCAGCACCCAGGGTAGCGTGAGGCGCTGGGAATTTTGATGTTCTGGAAACTGGGCCACAGGTAGCGCCCCACGCCACATGTGGCCCTCGAACTTTAAATCCCTATAAACGGGAGGTTTTGCCATTGTTTTGACAAAAAACAGAGTTAGAGAGCTTGGTTTGGGCGATTTTCAGAGGGAAATTTTACCACACAACTTGGGATAAGTGTTCTTGACTCCCTTGTGATTATATTCCATGAATTAATCTTCGTGTTCGGCATTAGATTATTGATTTTACAAGAAAAATCGGAGGAATTTTCTACAATTTCATAAAATAAATTTTCGAGATTTGAACATCGATTCGGAGTCGAATTTGAGTAAAATTAGTATGGTTGGACTCATAATTGATTGGGTTATCGGATTTTATGAGTTTTGTCAGATTTCGGGATGTGATCTCCATTGTCGATTTTTCGAGCGGAGTTAGAATTTTTGTAAATTGTTAAATTATAAGCATTGGAGTATATTTTGATTAATTTGCATGTTGTTTGACTAGTTTCGAATCGTTTGGCTTGGAATTGAGGATATAGGAAGGCGTTCAGAGGTTGATACGCGCATAGTGGAATTTCTGGAGCATTGTTTAGCTTGCTCGGTATTGGATTTGACATGTTCGAGGTAAGTAACTGTTCTAAACTTAGAGCTGAGGGTATGAACCCTGAATATACGTGTTATGTGATTCGTTTGGAGGTGACGCATATGCTAGGTGACGGGCGTGTAGGCGTGCACCGTAGAAAATGTGACTTAATTGATTCCGTGAAATTGTATAGTTAAATAATCTTGGCATTTTCCATGTACTTTTACGTGTTAGAGAAATTGAGCTAAAAATCATGCTGAGGCTATATGCCGGTATTATTGAGACCCAAAGAGGTTGTATTGCTGTTGAATTATTTATTTAAATTGTAATTTTATACTCAGTCATGTTCATTCATTTCATATCATATCTCAGTCTCTGTTGCTATATATTGATACATTATATCATCAATTTTTGGGCTAGTTTTATGGCACTGTGGGCCCGAGAGACTGGAAAGATTAATGACTGAGTGAGGCCGAGGATCTGATTGTGAGGTTATGGATACTATGGCATGTGAGTTGTCCGTGCGGATCTAGATATTTATACTATGGCATGTGAGTTGTCCGTGCGGATCTAGATATTTATACTATGGCATGTGAGTTGTCCGTGCGGATCTAGATATTTATACTATGGCACATGAGTTGTTCGTGCAACACGTGAGTTGTCCGTGTGGATCCAGATATTTATACTATGGCATGTGAGTTATTCGTGCAGCACGTGAGTTGTCCATGCGTATCCAGATATTTATATTATAGCACGTTGACGAGCTAAAAACACAACACAAAATTATGCTCGCTAGTCGAATATAGTATAGAAAATATCGTATCCACGTGGATTGGAGTTAAATATTGTTTTCATAGTTTAAAGCTTTATTGCTATCCAAGATGATCAACAATTTGGAGTTGTGTGAATTAAAACTAAAATTAACTAAAAGTCTAAACTATTGGCTAATGACAATCGCAACAAGAGTAAGCAAAGAAGATATCAATGGGAGAAAATAGGGGTTGATTGGATAGGTTCAAGATACTTGTTTGGGAATTAACTCTAGTCGATTCACTTCTAAGGTTCAAGTGAGTCTATCGAATTCACTCAATTATTAGTTCAACATTTAGTTACTCCTCTCTCGATTAAGTCTCAACCTCACAATATAAACTAAGTTAAGCTCAGTGATGATATGCAAGAATTTGTAGTGGATTAGTCTTTAGGAGAACCTCTTTCGATTATCCTCCTAACTGGGTCTAAACAATAATTCAACTAGCCTCTTTCGATTACTAAGAAGAATCAACAAATTCAACCAATAAGATAATGCAAATATATCACAATTTATGCCTCTTTCGATTACATAAACATGTGAATATATATGCAACAATAAAAATACCCAAAACGATTCAATACATAAAACTAGAGTTAATATCCACAAACAATTCTCAAAACACCAAATTCATCAATCCCTAAGGAAGAATTACTCCATGGATATAGAGAAATTAATCACAATTAAGTTTAAGTGAAAGAAAAACATAAAACATCCAAACCCTTGTCTTGAGTGAGGATGAATGGTGAAATCCTTGTGCTCTTGCTCTTCCCTCTTCTCCTTAGCTTCCTTAGGTTTAAATCATGTCAAAAGTCCTCAAAATACTATTTTTTATGTTTATATACCAAGTAGGGTCGGGCCAAATAGATATACCTTCTCCTACGCTAAAATGAAACTTTTCCGGAGTTAGACGTGCGCGATCGCGCACCTGTAAGTGTGCCCGCGCACTTGGCCGTGCACTTTTCACACTGTTCTGCCCCATATGCGCGGTCAGTGCGCGGCCGTGCACTTGCAACGCACTTTTTGCCATGTTATGTTGGGAACTGGAAAAAACATAAAATTCTAAAGTTGTAGACCTTTGAATTAGCTTTCTAACAATAAATTGTGGAGCCCAAATGGAGTTCCGAGCAAAACGGTATGTGCATTTTACTAGACACTACGCAATATGCCTGTTCGATTCTTCGTTTCGTTCCACTATCATCCGTTGTTCCCCGAACACGATCCCGGCTTTATTCCTTGGGCTTTTAATCAAACCTCAAAGCTAAAAATCACTTGA